ACCTGGGAGATGTAAGACAAATAAACCCTTTCCTCCCCAAGTTGGTACTGGTTAGAGTGTTTTGTCACAGCAATGAAGAACAAACTAAGACAGGGTCTTACTATGTTAAGCTTGGAACTTGGAATCCTACTACAGCAGAATTTCATGTGTTGGAATACCAGGTGTGCATACCATGTTTGCCTATGTTTGTGTGTGTGTGTGTGTGTGTGTGTGTGTGTGTGTGTGTGTTTACAGTGTGTTATCAACACTTACACTGGGCATATTTTACTTCTTTAAAAAAAACACCTCATTCTTAAAAAGTAAGGATTACAAATTAGCAACCAGTGACTGCTTTGAGTGAACAGGACACTCTCAGCTTAGCTGTGGGAAGCTCATGGTAGAAAACAAGCAATCACTTAGCACTGAGTCCCAAGAACCATTCTGAACACTTTCTGCAGGTTAACTCATGTGACCCTCTCAGTACTATAACTTACTGTTTTAACCAGAAGACACACTTTAGGGGATGGGAGCTGAGACAAGATCTTGCTATGTAGTCTAGGCTAGCCTTGAACTTATTATGTATGATATCTGATTGACCTTAAACTTGTGATTCCCCGACCTCAACTCCTGAGTGCTAGGATTGCAGGCGAGCGCCACCATGCCTAGATCAGAAGGCACAATTTAACAGTAGTCGTTCAATACATTTATTTTGCTAATTACTAATCATTATGCTGTCTCACGGAATAAAATCCCAAGATCTCAGGCCTGGGAAGATGACTCAGTGGGTAAAATGCTTGCCACACAGTGTGAGGAGCTATTTGAATTGCCAGCAGCCATCTAAAAGCTGCACATCACAGTGCACAACTGTAATCCCAGATCTGTGATGGTGGACTAGGAGACTGAATTAGGATCATCCCCAGAAGGTCATGAGTCAGCTAGCCTGGCCTAGGTAGCAGAGGCCCTGCTTCAAACAAGGTGGAAGGAGAGGACCAAGACCCAAGACTGTCCATTGACTTCCACATGCACACTGTGGTACATGTGTACCCACACTCAAACACATGAACATGCACACACACACACACACACACACACACACGCACACACACACAAATACTCCCAGTGACCTAGTGGTATAGAGATGTGTCACAGAGAAGAAAACTGAAGGAGATGGGGTTGATAGTTGTATACCAAATGGAAGTTCTTTTGAGAGATGTGGGTTTATACAATTGTAGGTCCCCAGGGCTGCATAGATGGCCCAGCAGTTAAGAGCACCAACTGCTCTTGCAGAGGACTCAGGTTCAGTTCCCAGCACCCATATGGTGGCTACGTACCATCTTTAACTCCAGTTTCAGGGGAATCCAATGCCATCTTCTGACCTCCGTGGGCATTGCATGACATGGGCGCACTTACATACATTCCGGCAATACACTCATACACATAAAATAAAAATAATAGGGCTGGAGAGATGGTTCAGCGGTTAAGAAGACTGACTGTTCTTTCAGAAGACCTGGGTTCGAATCCCAGCACCCACATGGCAGCTAACAACTGTCCATAACTCCAGTTCCAGGGTATCCGACAGCCTCTTCTGTCCTCTGCGGGCATTGCACGACACGGGTGCACTTACCTACATGCAGCGTAACACTCATACACATAAAATAAAAATAATAAATAAAATATTAAAAAATAAAATAAAAAAATAAAATATATATTTAAAAAAAGACAACAAAATTTTTGTAGCTCCCCAAACTAGAACCACTAATATGAACAACATCATCTTTTATGTAGGCTTGGATTGATGCCATTTTTGCATATTCCCAAATATAGTTTGAGAAATAAACAGTACTAGAAACTAAAATGTAAGCAACAAACACAATTTATCTTTCACCCTCTTGAGGTTGGCAGACATCTATAATACACTTCCTCTAATGTAGCTCCTATGGGCAAGAGGATGATTTCAATACAGAGCTCTTAAAGGGAAAATGACCACTTATCTCAATAGACTTCCTCACACACCCAGTGAACAACCTCAGTGTCAATGTCCTAAGAGCTAGAGAGAGAGCAAGGCCTCTCCCATGCCTTTCAAGTCACAGGAAGAAAGGGTCTGGAAACCTCCAGGCTCTATCTGCTGGATACATCCTAATTCTCTCCTGAGATCTACGTTGAGAGCCAAGGACACAGCCCACTATTGGACAAGGAACATTCCAGCTGACAAGTCTTCATAAACTTCAGTCTACTTCTTCACATGATACCCCAAATATTTTTTCCTAGAGGGGGAAAAGAGAAAATTCTTAAAATTCCAAGCTTGATTCACCATTGAAATGAAAACATTCCTGTTAATTCTGCTCCTATCCCTGAAGCTCAGAGACTCTACTGGGGTTGGGGGAGAGTATGGAAAGGTAACCCAGCATCCCCTGGGTACCTAAAAGGAAAACATGAGCTAAGGCCTTCTGGTACCTACCTAGCAGATCTTTTCTTGAAGATGCAATGGCTTTGGGGCTCTTTTTAAAATTCAAAAAGATGGTGCAGTGGTTAAGAGCACTGGCTGCTCTTGCACTCATACACATAAAAGAAAAATAAATATTTCAAAACATTTTCTTAAATAAAATTCCCCAAAGTAGGTATGGAAAGGCTGATGACTGTGGAGATGTAACATCTTGTCTGAGAGCTCTAGATGGTCAAGGTGGCACTGGGGGTGACTATGTGAACATATGTCATGAGGAGGAAGAAGCTTAATTAGTATGTGTTGTGTTTGAATACAAAATGTCCCCCACAGGTTTTTGAACACATGGTCCCCAGATGGTGGCACTGTTTTGGAAGGTTGTGGAACCCTGAGGAGGTGGAACTTTGCCGGAGGAAGTTGGGGGTGAGCCTTGAGGTTTTATAGCCTGGCCCCACTTGCTGTTTGCTCTCTGCTTCCTGTTCACCCAAGCTGTGAGGAGATAAGGAATCCCAGCTGCACACTGCTGTCACCCTGAAGCTGTCTGTGGCTATGCCATCCCCCGTGATGCACTGTCTCCCTTCAAACTGTGAGACAAAATAAGCCTTCCTCTCTGAGGTTGCTTCCTTATCAGGTTATTTGGTCACAGCACCAAGAAAATAACTAATACAGCATGATGTAGAGGTGGAGTTGCTATTCCTTCATGTGACAGGCTCACTACTGTACAAGTATTAGCTCAATATCCAAGATGCATAGAAAGTGACATGTATGGGAGAAAACAGGAAACGTGTTCGCACCATCCTGCCCTCATAGGCCCATCACAGCTGAGCTGGCAAGGCTAGGTGCACTCCTAGGAAATGTGGAATAAGGAGACAGGAAGGCTGAGCCCCTGGCAGGCTGTGCATGGGAAGAAGAGCCACACACACCCTAGTCAGCGGAGCTGTTCATAGCTCAGGGAGACAGAGGACAAGTCCCAAGAGACATCTCCTGGCCTTCCTCTGCCCTCCTTCCGTCCTTCCCCTCCCCTCCCTCCTTCCTCTCTTTCCTTCCTTCTCCCTCTTTTTCCTTCCCCCTTCCTTCCCTTCTTCCTTTTTTCATTCCTTCCATCCACCTGCTTTTTCCTTTCTCTTTCATTTTTTCTTCTCCCTCCCTCCCTCTCCCTCTCTCCTTCCCTTTCTCCCTGTCTCTCCCTTCTTTCTTTCATTTTGAGATAGGGTCTCACTGTGTAGACTAGGCTGGCCTCAAACTCACAGCGATCATCCTGCCTCAGCCTCCTGAAAGCTGGGATTACGGGTGCTGAGTCACTATGCAGCTCACACTTCCGTTCTAAGTCCTGTCAGTTCATGTCTGCTCTTAAAAAACCCTTTATCAGCATCTCTTATTTTTTTCAATGTCTTCTGGCACTTTAGCAAAGTCAGTTCTTCCTCTCACATCCTTTCCTTCCCTCTCTTCTAATTTACATTCTCCAAATTTAACTTAACTGTGGCCAAGAGTTAAGATTAAGGTTTTTGATAACCTGGACAATCAATTTTGGATTGAAAGTACAGAGGGTACAGTAGGGGATGTAGCACAGGGGTAGACTGTTTGCCTAGCATGCACAAGGCCCTTGGGCTTGAGCCCTGGAACAGGAAAGAGAATGAAAGGCAAGAAGGCAGGAAGGCAGGAAGGCAGGAAGGCAGGAAGGCAGGAAGGAAGGAAGGCAGGAAGGCAGGAAGGAAGGAAGGAAGGAAGGAAGGAAGGAAGGAAGGAAGGAAGGAAGGAAGGAAGGTGAACACTTGTAATTCCAGCATCAGGAGGTAGAAGCACAAGGATCACAAGTTCAAGGAGGAGGCTGGAGAGATGGCCCAGTGGTTAAAAGCACTGACTGCTCTCTCAGAGGACCCAGGGTTCGGTTCCCAGTCTACATGGCAGCTAACAACTATTCGTAACTCCAATTTGAGGGGTTCTAATGCCCTCTTCTGGCCTCCACAGGCATTGCATGCACATGATACACTTACATACATGCAGGTAAAACATTCATACACATAAAATAAATAATAAGTAAAAAATTTTAAAAAAGAAGTTCAAGGAGAATCTGGGTTGCATAAGACCCTGCCTCAAAAACAAATAATAAAAATAAATCAATAAACTTTAAAAAGAAAAAATGAATGAGAAAGAACAGATAATAAAGCAGTACTGGTTCCAGAAGATATAACTTAGTGGTAGAGAGTTTGCCTATCATGTGTAAGGTCCTGGGTTCAATCCCTAGTAACATTAAAATAAGAAAAAGAAAACCCAAGCACTGCCCTCACACTGACACACATACCAGTTGCATCCATTTCTGGACTGAAAATTCCCTTCAGCATTTTTGCTGAAGAAATCATCTACTTCCTCTAAAGAAATCTGGTTTTCTCCCTAACCAGCAGCCAATTTAAATAATTAAAATGTTTGAATTCACTTTTTCTTCTTCTTTTCATTTGATTACTGGAATTAGAGCTATTTTCATATTCACTGAAATAAAATTATCCTATAAAATTCACCCTACCAAAGTGCATAGTTTAATGGCTTTTAGTGTTCAGAGTTGTACAACCATCACTTCTGGTTTTAGAACATTTTATCACTCCAAAAAGAAACTCCATACCTATCATCGGTTACCCTATTCCCTCACTGCTTGTTTTCTGTCTCTACAAATTTATTTTCACATTTTGTATACATGAAAACATACAACACATAGCATTCCTGCCTGGCTTCTTGTCCAATTTTTTAAACTTTATTTTTTATTTATGTGCATGTGTGTCTGTGTGTGAGTGTGGACACATGCATGCTAGTGCCCATGGAGGCCAAAAGAGGGCTTTGGATCCTTTGGAGCTGGAGTTTAAAAGGCAAGGTTTTGAGCTGCCCAAAGTGGGTGGCAGAAATTGAATTCAAGTCCTCCAGCTCTCTAGCTCAGCTTCATGTTTTTTGGATTTTTTTAAAAAAATATTTTATTTATTATTTTTATTTTATGTGTATGCATGTAATTGCCTGCATGTAGGTAAGTGCACCCGTGTCGTGCAATGCCCATGGAGGGCAGAAGAGGCTGTTGGATTTCCTGGAACTGGAGTTACAGACAGTTGTTAGGGGCCATGTGGATGCTGGGATTTGAACCCAGGTCCTCTGCAAGAACAGTCAGTGTTCTTAACCGCTGAGCCATCTCTCTAGCCCTATTATTTTTGTGTATGAGTGTATTGCCTGCATGTAGGTAAGTGCACCTGTGTCGTGCAATGCCCACGGAGGGCAGAAGAGGCTGTCAGATCCTCTGAAACTGGAGTTACAGACAGTTGTTAGCTGCCATGTGGGTGCTGGGATTCAAACCCAGGTCTTCTGCAAGAACAGTCAGTGTTCTTGTTTGCTGAGCCATCTCTCCAGCCCCTCAGCTTCATGTTTTAAAGGTTTGTATGTGTCAGCACTTTTATTTCTTTTTATGGGTCAGTCATAGGCCATTGTGAGGTTGTGCTCCATTTTGTTTAACATCATTCATTAGGTGAGGCCATTTCTATTATTTCTACTGCTTGGTCATTATGAATAAGGAATGCTGTTAGGAATATTTATGTACAAGGTTTGGGTGGAAATGTTTCAGTTCTCCCAGAGTGGAGTTGGTAGCTCTATTTTATTTTCATTTATTTGTTTTGTGGTGCTGGGTATCAAACACATTGTCTTCCACATGCTAAATACACACTCTACCACTGAGCTATACACCCAGCTCCTGGTGACTCTGATGAAGATTTTGCTAACTTCTGTGGGAACTGCCAGACTGTTCTCCCAAAAGGGTGCAACATTTTGAAATCCCACCAGAAATGTAATAAGGGTTCTGGTTTCCCCACAGCCTCACTTACTTCTTCTCTACTGTAACTATCTTAGTGGGTGGAGACCTTCAGTTTTACTATTGAATGAGCAGGTCAAGTGTCTTTTCTTGTGCTTATTGACCTAACGTACGTACTCCTGGGAGAAATGATCTATAAATCCATTGCCCACTTTTGTTTTGAGACAGGGTCTCCCTGTAGCCCCAGCCAGCTTGGAACTCCCTAGGTAGACCTGACTGGCCTCCATCTCACAGAGATCTGTTTGCCCCTGCCGCCCAAGTGTTGGGATTAAAGGTGTACACCTCCACACCTGACATCCATTGCCCATTTAAAAATTAAATTACGTCTTTTTTTTGTTGAATTGTGAGTCCCTTACATCTTCTATATAAAAATTATGTATTTAACATATGATTTAGAAGAATTTTCCCTATTCTGTCTGTCTCCCTCTCCCCCTCCTCCATTTATATTTTATTTGACTCTTCCCCTGCCATACTTGGGATTGAACCCAGGGTGTCATGCATGCCAAGCATATCACATACAGTACCACTGAGCTGCATCCCTAGTCCTGTTCCCTCTCTCTCTCTCTCTCTCTCTCTCTCTCTCTCTCTCTCTCTCTTACAAGGTCTCATATAGTCTAAGGTATGTAGCTAAGGATAACCTTTGTGACAGCTAATCTTGGTTGTTAACTTGACCTACCTGGGAGGATGGACCCTCATTTGAGGAATTTCCTCTATCGGACTGGCCTGAGGGAATGTCTATGGAGCATTTTCTTGAATGCTAACTAATGAAGAAGGGCCCAGCCCATTGTGGGCAGTACCATCCCTAGGCAGGTGGGCCTGGGCTGTATAGGAAAGCTAGCTGAATATGAGCCTGGGACCAAGCCAGTGAGTAGCATCCTCTGTGGTTTCTGCTTCAAGCCCTTGCCTTGAATTTTGTCTTGGCTTCCCTTGATGGACTTTAACCTATAAGATGAAACAAACTCTTTCCTCCCCAAGCTGCTTTTGGTCATGGTGTTTATCACAGCAACAGAAAGCAAGCCAGGACATCCTTGAATTTCTGGTGTTCCTGTGTCCATCTGCAGTGTGCTGGGATCACAGAAGTGAGCCAGCATGCCTCGTTTACTGGTGCTGGGGATGGAACCCAGGGCTTCCTGCGTGTTAGACAAGTACTATACCAACTAAGCTACATCCCCAACCCTTTTCCACTTTCTTGATGGTGTCCTTTGAGGCACAGATGGAGTCCAATCTTTCTGCTTTCTCTTTTATTGCCTATGCTTTGGATATAGATCCACTTTGATCACTTCAGCTATATCAGTAGGTAAAATAGAGAAACAGGCCTGTGAACCTCACCCATACTTTCCATTTCTCTGTAAAAATACATCAACAGGACCTGTGATGATTTGTAAATGGACCCTTGAAACATAGTCAAGCAGGATTTGCTCAAACACGAAGTGAAGGCAGGGGTCGGGGAGGCCATAGCTGCAGTGTTCAGGAAAGTCTGAGTGCAGTGGAGGCCCTTGATGGGACCCTTCGAGGAAGAGAGGGGGAAGGAAATACAGCTGAGGGAGCTAACCTTCTCTCAGCATGGGCTAGGCAGCTTGAACCCAGGGCTAGCTTACTTCCGAGTTAGCAAACCTGCTGCCAAAGTGGGAATTAGAAAGAAGAGAGGCTAGGGTAAGCAATGTAACTCCACTGAGGACAACAGGCTCTTCGGCCCCAGGGCCAATGTATGCCTCCTTTCCATGTGAGACCTGCCTTTGGTGGAAGTTCCAAGGTCTCTCTGGCTATACCTAGGGCTGACTTAAGCCTCCTGCTGGCCCCTGGAACATTCTTATGCAAAGAGGACCAAGGATAACATGGGTGAAGACCTGTCCTAGGAATAGCCAAGATCAATTGAGAGTTAAAGTTCTGAAATAGAGGAACTCTGAAATAGAGGCATGTGGGGCCATGCCTTTAATCCCAGCATTCAGGAGGCAGAGACAGATGAATCTCTGTTAAATTGAGGCTAGCCGGGTCTACATAGTGAGTTCCAGGCCAGTTGGGGCTACAGGGAAATCATGTCACAAAGGGAGGAAGGGAGGAAAGGAGGAAAGGAAGTTCTGGAGTAAAGCATTTTGTCAAAGCTGACCTTATATCAACCTTGAATATGACAGTTATGGGGAAACTTCAGCAAATGGAGATAAAGGTTGGAGGAGGGCTCAGGCTGAGGCACAGAGGAAGACAACTGTTTTGACTGATACTAGCTCATCAAAACTGGATGAAAGTTCAACAGTTTGTTTTTTAGTTTGTATCACAATGTCCCTGTCAAGATGGTCAGGTCAAAGTAGCAATGACAGAATGTCATGAACCCTGATTGAATCTCTGTGTGAAGATCAACCCCACATCCTGTTGGCATCTGTAAGTTTGATCAAGTGTCCCCTTGCCCTCATCTTAAGAGCAGAATTCTGTTGCCTGCAAAATTTGTGAAAAAAAAATTGCATCTATCTAAACATTCTGTCTCACCATCTCCTCATTTCCTGCTTCCTCTGACTGGTCTCTGCTCCAACACACATATCCCACATACCCTTGGGGAACTCAATAAATATTTTTGGATGATGAAGATCACTGCTAAAAATATGTTCCCATTGATGGGACGTGTCTTTTGCCACTTGAGTGTTCTAAACCCATGAGAACTTCTTCACAGATGTGTTCCCGCCATTAAAATAAATCTTATCAGCTCATCTTTGCTGAGATTAGAAGAGATGTGTGTGTGTGTGTGTGTGTGTGTGTGTGTGTGTGTGTGTGTGAAGGTCTCACTATGTAACCCAGACTGGTTTTGAACTTATAATATTCCTTTCTGAGCTTCCTAAGTTCCAGGATTCCTGGTTATGTACCATGGTGCCCTACTGAGACGTATTTTTTTAATGGGATGGACTTACCCATCCACCGTTCTGCTGGACCCAGGGAGAGAAGTATTCTTTTAGGTACTTGGTTCCAAAGCCCAGCACCCTGTTCATTGGGTGGTTGTCGATGGCTGTGAGCTTGGCCATGGCATCTACTGCAAGGGCAGCCTTGAAGCCCTGAGCTTTGACTTCTGATTCTCCTCTGGTGTCCACATCCCTCAGGAACATGTCTGTGATGGTCTTGAAAACTGGATAGGTCAGGCTGTCTTGCAAAGTGCTCATCAAAGCCTTATCTTTCTTCAGCTGTGTATAAGAGAAGCATTCAGTAGAGCCATGTAGCCCACAGAGGCCTGCAGAAGGTCATTCTTTCACCCAAAACCACTGGTAGAAAGACCATTCACAGCATCCCAAAGAGCCAGATGGAACCATCAATCTGCTCTATGACTATGTTTCACTGGACAGTTAAGGATAGAAATGATGTATTCCAACACTCAAATACTTGCAGAGCACTGCGGATAGACAGGTACCAGGGATGACTGGGATTCCGGTGCTCACCCACAGGGCTTACAGTTTAATGCAGACTGCACAACAGCACTATGTGCTATGTGAGAGGTGGGGTAATGGATGGGATTTGAAGCTTGGGAATAACTGTCCTGGGCTGTACACCTCTACCCTACTCTACCCTACTGGCGATTCAACCTTGGGGACACCACTTATTTTTCATGTCTAGTTCTGACGTCTCTAAACTAGGATGATGACAGTACAGTGCTGGACATGAAGGAGAGGCTCTATGGGGACAGCAGGGCCAGGAGGCTCTCTGAGTATATATGTATAATAACAATAATATTGATGATGATGATGATGATGATGATGGCTAGTGAGATGGCTCAGTGGGTATAGGCACTTCTTGTCAAACATGATATACTGAGTTTGATCCCTAAGTCCCATATGATGAAAGGAAAGAACTGATTCCTGAGGTTCCACTGACCTCTACACATGTACTGTGGCACATGCATCTGCATTGTCACCTGCCACCAAATCCCCACTCAAAACAAATATATACAAAAATAAAGAATCCGCAGATTCCTTTCCCATTATTCTACCCAATTGATTTTGCCTCCCACCCCTTCCTTGAACATAGATATCCTTTTTTACTTTATTTTATTTTATTTATTTTGAGTCATGGTCTCCCTATAGCCACAGCTGGCCTAGAACTTGCTATGTAGACCAGTATGGCCTTGACCTCACAGAGATCCACCTGCCTCTGCCTCCTGAGTGCTGGGATCAAAGGCATGTGCCACCATGCCCAGGTCTGTTTTTTTGTTTTGTTTTCTGAGACACAGTCCCTTTGTAGCCCCAGCTGGCCTGGAACTCATTATGTAGACCAGGCTGGCCAGGAATTCACAGAGATCCACCTGGCTCTGCCTCCCTAGTACTGGGATTGAAGGCGTGCACCACCACACCTGCATGCCTGGCTCTGGATCTCTAGGCTTTACCATCTTGGATTACCATGCTTTCTTCTTTGTAGTGCAGGCTGGCTTGAACTCTTGATTCTCCTGTCTCAGACCTCCCACGTGTTGGGATTATAGATGTGCACCACCATATATGATACTACCACCTCTTAAAAAACCATCTCTGCCAGGCATGGTGGCGCACGCCTTTAGTCCCAGCACTTGGGAGGCAGAGGCAGGTGGATCTTTGTGAGTTCGAGGACAGCCTGGTCTACATAGTGTGTTCCAGGACAGCTGGGGCTACAGGGAGACCCTATCTCAAAAACTGTGAGTTCAAAGCCAGCCTGGTCTACATAATGAGTTCCAGGACAGGGGGGGCTACAGGGAGACCCTATTTCAAAAAAAAAAAAAAAAAAAAAAAAAAAAAAAACCAAAACCCAAAAACAAAAAAAACTCCAAAAAACACACACAAAAAAACATCTCATTGGTTGCTGGCATCTATTTGTAATTCTCATGACAAGAAGGCATTCCTTCACAAGGCAGCCCTGGACACTGATGGGTGGCCACGAGTGCCAGAAAGTTCATTCTCATGCTAAGGGGCTATTAACTACTGCTCGGGCTCTATACCCACAGATCCTAGCTTTGGAGGAACACAACTGAGGTTCTAAAATAACACATCAGGCTTTCTGCTTCCTCGGCACCTCTACCCATGGCAAAGCTCACACATTCTCCCCTCTTTTCCTCTGTCCAACATCCCTGGTTCTCATTTTGCATCTTCCCCGGGCCCTTTGCCCCTTTGGTCATGATCTTCCAGGCGCAGGCCTGACAAGGCTGTTGGGAGAGGAACTGTGATCTTGTACTGGTTCTAGACACAAAAGAAGAATCTACAGGCCAGACCCTGATGGACAGACCTCAGAGACAAGCAATAGTCTGTGTGTCTCAGCTGCACAAGAGACCACACACTGAGAGAGATTCCCTTTGGACCACATTATGAATTTGCTCTCCAGTGTCACCCAAGGACAGCAGTCTCAGGTTCCACATGAGAAGGGGTGGGTCTCCACTTCAGAATGCCAGGAAGTCTACAGGTTCTCCAAGCCTGCATCTCTGGCTGAACTGCTGAGAGACTGTAAGCAGACACAGTCTGGCAACTGTAGAGAAGACTTCAGAAAGGACCCCAGCCTTTGAGCAAGCTAGGAGACACATATCTAGGCTGTGGGGCAATTGTAAGCATCTCGACTTCACTGAGGATCGGTTACATGGGGACTGAGATTAATAAACCTAGTCAGCAGATTTTCATTTTCCAATGTCTTTTCTTGCAATAACACAGCTATATTTCCAGCTTCCAAAAATTCCAAGGAGGCTCCAGAAGGTTCGAGTATGTTCTCCAAAGTGATTCATTTTGGAGATGCTGCCAACATGAAGATGCAGACTCCAAGGGAAATAAAATCTAGGACTAAGTGGAAGCCAGTAAAAGAGGGGGAAGGTTAGGGCCTGGCGCGTTTCCATTCTCCTGCCCTAGTGCGTGGGCGCAGACAGAAATCACATTAGTTCAGGGCGTTTCATACCTCTCTCCCCAACTGATCCCCTGAACATTTCAGCAGCTCAACAATTTTGCCTATTATTTGGTCTTCTCCATCTGTTTGGGAAGAGAGAAATTCCAGTTATTTCTTCCAAGAAAGGCATAAAATAATCTTAAAATTTTTTTTGAAAATTAAGTTTTTGGAGACAGGGTCTCACTATATAACTGTGGCTAGCCTGGAGCTTGCTATGTAGAACAGGATAGCCTCAAACTTACAGATTCTCCTACCTCTGCATCCCAAGCTCAGGATTAAAGGCATGCCTCACCACACCCAACTTTATAAAATAATCTTAAATGTTTCTTTCCACTGGGAATATTGTGGCTTGGTTAGGGATTGAGGAAGAAGTGAGCTTTCTAATTCTTGGTTGATAAATCTTACCTCTTTTAATTGGACATAATTCAAGACTTCTCCAAAAGTCCTGTCCTTTGTTTTCTTTGCTCAGTCCCTTTCTCCCCCTACAAAGTTTCACTGTGAAATCACTGTATTTAGTAAGAGCGCAGTTGAAAACATCATCTCCACTATACACAGTCCTATCTATGAATTCTCTTAAGAAAATTTCCCTCTTTTTTATTTTTAATTTTTATTTTATTCTGCTACTGAGCTACAGCTCAGCCCCACCCCCTTGGTGCTGAGGAGCTACATCCCTGGCCCACATTGTTTTCAGACATTTTCTCAACAGATGGTACTTTTTGTTGTTATAAATAAATCCTCTGTGTGTGTGTGTGTGTGTGTATGTGTGTGTGTGTGTGTGTGTGTGTGTGTGTGTGTGCATGTGGAGGCCAAAGGTCAATGTTGAAGGTCTTCTTCAATCATTCTCCACTTTATTTTATTTTTTGTCTTTTTGAAATAAGGTCTCCCTATAGATAGAGCTAGCCTTGAACTATGTTGACCAGGCTGGCCTCAATTTCAGAGATTCATCTATCTCAGCCTCCCAAAGTGCTGGGATGAAAGGCATGTGCCACCACCTTATTTTTAGAGACAGGGTCTCTTACTGAACCTGGGGTTCATTAGTTCAGCTAGACTGATTAGCCAGCAAGCACTAGGGCTCCTCTTGTCTCTTTCTCCCAGTACTGGGATTACAGCTACATGCCACTGTGCCTGGCTTTCCATGTGGGTGCTGGGGATCTGAACTCAGGTTCTCATGATGGTGTAGCAAACACCAGTTAAGCCATATCCCCAGTCCCATGAATCCCATGTTTGATCATATTTCCACCTGTTTCAGAAGACATAGAGCCAAACTTACAGCCCCAATTTGGAGGGTAATTTTCCTGGCCTGCATTTTGGGACTAATCTCATTCCTAAGACCATTTATTTTCATACGTATATGTTTTCTTTTTACAATAACTTTAAATTTTGATTTGGGGGGGTCTTGTTTTGAGACAGGGTCTCCCTGTAGCCCCAGCTGACCTGGAACTCACTATGTAGACCAGGCTGGCCTTGAACTCACAGAGATCTGCCTGCCTCTGCCTCCCGAGTGCTGGGACTAAAGGTATGTGCCACCATGCCCAGCTAAATTTTATTGATTTTATGTGACTAAAATTTGTACTTGATATTCTATGTTTCTACAACAAGGTAAGGTATGTATAAATGAAATTAACAAATCCTCCCATTCCCCAGGCTGAAATGGGAGCTGGGTTGAAAAATGGCTACTGTTGTATATGGTGTACATGTTGGAACAGGGACAACGTACTATGATTTTTTTTCCACAATTTGCCACAAAGTAAACACAATGCTGAAAATGATCATTGTTACAGAACAGAATCCAAACAGAAAAAGGTCAGTTACCGAGGGAATCGTGTTTCTCACTTAGAGCCTAATCTCTAACGGGATGGAGCCAACATGTTAGTCTTGGATGGCGGCAAGGGAGACCAGAGAACTGATGTAACAAGACCCAAGAAGGTCTATGGACGGGAAGAGGCAAATGAGAACACAGGGCTCATGTTGCTTGAGAGAAAAAAGGATGCAAGTCTCCACAGCCCTGAGCACTTTTCTGTGCTCCTGCTCCCGGGAAAAGCTGCTGTGCTGGAGGCCTGGATTCCCCTGCACACAGGAGAAAAGTGCCTTGGCTCTAGCTAGGATATCACTTTCTATCTCCCAGGCATGCCTGAGACAGACAGCAATCAAGCCTCAGCTTTCTTTCTAGCAGGCTTGGAGGGTTCCTCACTTAAAGACTCTGTAGCAGTTTGGGGTCTCCTTTACAGCAGACAGTAGACAAAGCCACAACCCTGTTTCAGGGACTGAGTGACACCGGGGCCTTGGAGGGAGAACTTTTGCCTTGTCCTTCACAATGCTGCATACCCAAGAGCCACTTCATCACCCTCTATTGGAGGCTGAGGAGGGAGAGCCGAGAGGCATGCCATTGGTGAAGGAAGGCAGGGCCTATGGCACTTGATCCTGCTCCTGCAATTCTTCTGGGCCCAGGGTTCACACAGGCTTCATGGGATTGGTAACCTCCATCACTGCTATGGGATGCGTGATAACTGACCCAATCTGGTCACTACTTTTCACTTGTGTGTTACATTCTGCACCTGATCTGGTGTTGTTAGATTGAATCTGAACTGTCTTCCATAGGTTCATGCTTTGAATGCTTGTCCTCGGTGACACTATTCTAGGAGGGTCTGGAAAATTTAGGAGGAAGCAGGATACTGGGGGCAGGCCTGTGAGGGGACATTATGACAGGCCACGTCCTGACTCTTTCTTTGCTTCCTGACTGACAACGAAATGAAGAACAGTCTTCTGTCACACATTCCCACTGACATGTTTTTCTGCCCAAATGCATGGGCCCAGGTAACCATGGATGGAACCCTCTGAAACCACGAGTCAAAATAAATCTTTCCTCCCTGAAGTTGTTTCTGATAGGCATTTCTTCTCACAACAACCAGAAAAGTAACTAATACATTGGGTGGCTGACAGCCCTGTGCTGTTTCCCAGGAGTCTAAAGCAATATTACACATCCTGCATTGCTGCTCCAACTCTACCCAGGACCATTACTAACATAAGATCTAATATTTCCTCCTCTCCTTCCATAGGAAACTTTTCTTCTGAATTAGCAGTGAGTTGGATTGGTTCAACATGGCATCTCTGTGCCTTGGGTTGGTGTCTTAAGCCAGAGATCAAGGTCTCCATCATGTGGGCGGAGACTCCAAAGTCCAGATCCCTGAGATGAATACCTACCTGTACACTTCTGCCTGGCATACACACAACCCAACACATTCACAAGAAAGGCTTACCTTTCTTAGGACCTCCACCTCTAGGACCTTGAAGTTTTACGTACAGAATATCTGGTATAACACCCTCTTTGAACTTGAAGCCTCCTCCCTGGCTATGGCTGTCTTCTGGTGGTGGCCAAGAGTTAACGATCTCAGCTACTCGGTTGGCAATGGAAGCAACTTTGGGGTCCACAGCTGAAATGAGACAAACAATGCTAAGAGGCACTCCCCAGAACTGGGTCTGGGCATCGATTGCATGGTTGCCTGGAATGAAGTGGCCAGCCTCGACTGAGAGATGTATGCCCAGGAGTATGTGGAGGGACATATTTGAGGGGGAACATTCCTCAGAAGAAACCAGCAATTACCTGGCAGAGGTGGGAAGTGGGAGAAGTATATGGGAAAGATTGTCACTGTGGAACAGCTGCCTTTCTACACCCTCATTTTTTTCCCTTTGTAAAGGTAGAAACACAAAGGGGGTGCTTACCAATGCCTAACAGAATGCTCACGGTGCAGGGCTCCTGTGTGCATGGGAGAGTATTCAATAGTTTGATACCTCCTCACTTTTTTTTTCTTGGTCTTTTTGAGACAGGGTCTCCCTGTAGTCCCAGCTCTCCTGGAACTCATTATGTAGACCAGGCTGGGCTTGAACTCACAGAGATCTGCCTGCCTCTGCCTCCTGAGTGCTGGGATTAAAGGCATGTGCCACCATGCCCGGCATACCCCCTCACTTTTATACCCACATGTCTTTTCCCTTCATGTTTAATAGAAAGCATTTGAGTAATACTTATAAGTAAAAAAGGATGCATAAACAGCCAGATGTGGCAGTTCACACCTATAACCTCAGCACTTAGGAGACTGGGGCACCAGGATCATGTTGAAAGCCTGAGGTGGCTCTGTATTTGGTACCAAATGGAGCAGGTGAGCCTTAGCACACTGTACTTGAAGAACACCCACTAGACTTAAGGATGGGGAGTAGATCAAGATTTTGGGGTCAACCTAGGCTACATATTGAGGTCCTATCTCAAGTACGAACTAACTAATTTAACAAAGTAAGCTGAATTATCTTGAAAGAACACCCTCCCCCATCCTTCCGTATTCTTCCTGCTTACAGTGTAGCTATGATGGCTAGAATCCCTCAGCCAATTTAGAATATAGATTCTTCAGAACATATTATATATATGTAACTACTTACATGGATAACTATACTATGCACCATGGTTATATATTTAGTTATGTATCATTATGCAGTCCCAGATACAATTCAGCATATAAACCCAGTTCTGTCGGGGTTTATTTATTCTGTTCTGTTTCTTTGTTTTTTTTGAGACAGGGTCTCTCTGTAGCTCTAGCTGGCCTGGAACTTTCTATATAGACCAGGCTGGCCTTGAACTCACAGAGATCTGCCTGCCTCTGCCTCCTGAGTGCTGAGATCAAAGGCAAAGGTGTGTGCCACCATACCCTACCTCTGTCAGTGTTTTGACAGAATCTTTTTTTTTTAATTTTTAAAATTTTTGTCTTTTTGAGACATGGTCTCCCTGTAGCCCCAGCTGGCTTGGAACTCACTGTGTAGACCAGGCTGGCCTGGAACTCAGAGATCTACCTGCCTCTGCCTCCCAAGTGCTGGGATTAAAGGCGTGTGCCACCATGCCCAGCAGAATCTTTTATTTTTTTAAAGTATTTTATTTTATTTATTTATTTTTTTGTCTTTTTGAGAGAGGGTCTCCCTGTAGTCCTAGCTGACCTGAACTCACTATGTAGACTAGGCTGGCCTTGAACTCACAAAGATCTGCCTGCCTCTGCCTCCCAAGTGCTGGGATTAAAGGCGTGTGCCACCATGCCCCACTATTATTTTATTATTTTTATGTGTACGGGTGTCTTACCTGCATGTACCCAAGTGCACCCATGTCGTGCAATGCCCTTGGAGGTCAGAAGAGGGTGTTGGATTCTCCAGGAACTGGAGTTACAGACAGCTGTTAAAGCTGTCATGTGGGTGCTGGGAATGAAAATTGGTCCTCTGCCAGAGCATCCAGTACTCTTAACCACTGAGCCATCTCTCTAGCCCCAGAATTTTTTGTTCTTAATCTCACCTGAAAGCTACCTTTCTTTACTTATCTCCTCTTTAAAATAGAAGAAAAATGCTGTGGTGGTGCACGCCTTTAATCCCATTGCTGGGAGGCAGAGGCAGGTGGAGTTCTGTGAGTTCAAGGCCAGCCTGGTCTCCATAGCAAATCCAGGCCAGCTGGGGCTACAGGGAGACCCTGTCTCAAAAAAGACCC